CCGAGCCGTGATGAGTTTTGAACTTTGGCTCTTTATAAACGAGTTGAGCTATAAACGAGTTGAGTTCGACCTCGGTTTGTTTACGAAAATCATGATTTGCACTTGACTCGATTTCGATTCGAGTTCGGCTTATTAATGAGCTTATGAGCTCTACTCGAGATTGGCTTATCAATTAAATTGCAAGATCGACTTGAGTTTAGGTAACTTATCATAAATTTTAATTGTTCATGTCATGTTATTTAATTGTAATTTATATATGAGCCATTTATGTTACATAATTTCACTTTTAAATTATAAATGAGATATATGTGATATTGTGTTTAATTCTTAAGTATCATATGTGGTGAGATATATAATCTAACAAACATATGAATTATCAACAAGTCAAAGACAAACTATTAATCGACTCTCTCATATGTTTCTAGTTGAGGTGGCTTGCTAGTCATACTGTCGAGTCAACTTATAGTTGAAAACGAGCTAGCTCACGAGTTCAGCTCAACAATCCGCTGAGTCGAGCTAGCTCGGGAGCCTTGCAAACCGAACAAAACTTAAATCAAACTGAGCTTATAAGTAAACGAGCCAAATATCGGACGAACTTTTCTCGAGCTGAATACCAAGCCACTGTTGACTCATTTGCAGCTCTACCTCGCTCCCTATCTTTTGATTTCTTCCCTTTTGCAAGTTTTCCTTTTCCTAAAAATGTTTTCATAAAAAAATGTTTCAAATAAAAAGTGGAGGGCTTGGGCTTCCACTTGCTTTTTTATATATTTTTATTATCCTTTTGGTGTGTCCAATTAATATGATGATGTTGACTTTCGATTCTACAAAGAGCTGAGGGGGTGAGAGCCCCTCATGTATGGACTTAAATTGGATTATTTGTTTCCTCATATCTCATCCATCAACCCAACTCATCCTTATTATCCACAGCTTTAGTAATTAGTTCCACAGCTTTGGATAATATATTAAAGTAGTGATAATATTTGGGATGCCACCATACACTGCTCCAATTTTACACTAAGATTGCATTTATAAAATAGCTCACCCTTTTTTTACCATTTTCGTGGCCAGCTTTGTATGTCTGAGTTGCTTTTACCATTAATTTGGGTATTTACAGAGATCAATATATCATTAGATAAGTGTGTACTGTTATGAAAATTTTATGACATGCGAGAAAAAATTCTGCTTATTTTAGATGAATCCAAATAAAACGATATTGTTATAAATTGCTACATTGAAGATGGGTTAGTGAATTCTTCATTGTGATTATTGCTAGCTTTGACTCGTGACGAAACTAGTGTTTCAACTGAACTATGATCTTGTCGGCAATGCCACATAAACGAACAAACCATTTTACGATACCGGTTATCTAGTTGGGTTGCAAGTTGCCAACTTATTTCCCTGAGAAGAACAAGCATATAAACATCCAACTTAAGTATGTTATTTTAGTAACCCTAAGGTTTAGGTAGCCTGAGATGGGTACATTTTTGCGAATTGTCATGAAAAGTTTGCTATTTAAAGAGAGCCCAATAGTATTTTAATGGTCAGGGTCTCATTATATATATATTTTTTATATACTTATATTTCTGATCTCGATTGTTTCTGTTGTGAAGTTGAGACAGTCACAGAAGTGCATGTGTGCTTCTTTGAGATTTTAGCTCCTGTAACTATCATGGCCACAGTAGGCAAAATTTAAGAGGCAGAAACCTGTCCTTATCCTTGACAGAAACTTTCTTCAATTCCCTTTATCTACATGTCTGATAACATTCATATACATCATACTATAGAGATATCTTCTTGGACTGGATAAGGTTACATTTGAACCCACCACAACCCAACTTCAGTGGCAGCATCTATATATATAATTTTCTCAATGGATCTTATTTAGACAGAATTATGGTGCATATGTCCAATCCAATAATTCAACTTCGATCTTATAGCTATATTAATAGCCAAGGAAACACTTCCTCTTAGGCATGTCAAATGGGTCTTAGGGTATGAGTTTTACCCAAACCCAATAGAATTTGGGTCAAATCAGGTTTTGGGTTTTTCTGTTTTGGAGCAGACCCATACCCATCCAATTAAATTGGGTCCAAGATAGGCCCAGAAAATAAAAAAAAAAAAAAATTCAACAGAACCCAAACGGGTTTCTTCATCCTTCGACCTAATACGCTGAACGCCCATCGCATCCCGTCGCCGCCGCCCGCCTGCATCCAGGGTCTTCTCGTGCTGGTCTCAGGGTATATTGGTTCTCGTCGCCGCCGCCCGCCTGCATCCAGAAAGTCTTCAAGATCTAACTCCAATAAGGATTCGTCCCAGAAAAAGGTAACCGCCATCTTCTTCCCCAATTGTAGTTCAAAATTGACGAACAGGGTATTCAATCATCCATTAGTGCTCCCCCCACCAATCTTAATTAGGTCGTGACAATCTACCACAATAGAAAGATTTGACAAAAGAAAACAGAGAGAGCTTTGTGTCATTAGTGAACTCATGGGTCTTCTGTGTGCGTGTTTTGATTTGGACTCTTCTCTGGTTCTTTTGTCTTTTTTCTTTCTGGGTTTATCTAATTATGCAATCCCATAAGAAGAACCATCCAAATAGGTAAATTACAATATCAAAGATGGCATTTTTATGTTGTATTTTACTGGTGTAAATACTCACAGTGAAGCTATAGCTAGCTCTGTTCATACTAGCACCGTATCATCTTCCCTAGCATAGAGAGTTTGCCCTGGGAATCTGCCATTCACTGTGACAATCGGCTTGCTCGAACATAGCTTCGTAGTGTTTTTCATTACAACCTGAAAAGTAACATTGGTAAAATCTGTTGGATTGCAGCTTTAACTGTAGCTGCTAGTGACTTGAACTTCCTGCACTTTTCAAATTAACTGACAGTGTCAGTGAAATCAATGTCGAAACGAGTCAAATGACGGTTACCTTGAAATTGTAGTGACGAACTGCACAGTCTACGAAAGCTGGAAGGAAGCAGACCAGAACGAAAAGGAAACGAAGAGAGGAACAAGCCATTGCTGCTTCTCTATTGATTCTGTAAGTGGCTCCTCCTGGATATTTAGTTCTTTCTACTTTGATGCTTTGCTTTTGCTGTGAATGGGTTGCTCTCCACTTGAAACCTTATAAAGGGGAGATCAACGGAGGCATGACAATCCTGCTGCTGCTGCAGAAATGTCATTGTTGTTCTGTTTGGTTGGTGATTAGAGGGATTTGCTCATTCTTGCAGAATTCCTATTTTTACTGTTGATTTGTTCCCTTCAAGATTACATAAAGTCACCTGAGATTTCTTCTTATAGCTATGTTCCTTAGATTGAGTTATGTGGCTTGGAATATGGATGGCAGTTCGAGACAAAGGTTGATATATTAGGTGCTTGTGGTCTGTATTACTTGAGATGATTCGTTGGATTGAGTTATGTGTTTTGTGGCGTGGAATATAGATGACAGTTCTAGACAAAGGGTGATATATTAGGTGCTTGTGGTCTGGATTACTTGAGATGGACATGATTCTGCTTTGGTTTTGCTGTTCTCTCTGTAGCGGGTTACATTTCTCCCATAGGTGAAGGTTAGTTTGTTTGCTAGGGAGAAAGACTGTACTTTCTTTTGTTGTTTTACGTGATGAAGATTAGAGTATTTGATTGAACTTGTCTTAAAAAAGATATTAAAGGGGTTAATCTATGAACTAACCATATTTAAATCACACAAATCTCTGTTAGGTCTCCTGAAGTGGCACGTAAAAGTGTTATGTAGGAAGGGGATACCGAAGCATAGAAATAATAGAGAAGCAATTAAGGAGGAGATTCATAGACAAACTTGGGAAATGAAGGAAGGCACTGTCCCCAACAGAAGGCAATGGGACCAAATTGGCTTTTCTTTTCTTTTCTTTTGGCGAGAAGAGAAGGAAATAAAACATCCTACCCACCAACGAAACCATTAGAATAATGGAGCAGCTAGGCTGTCCAATACATTGAACAACGTAGAAAATGGAGGAGCAGGGAACTTAAGATAGATAGATAATCTTAAACAAAATCTAACTTATACCCAAATGGACCCTTTATAAGCTCTCTCGCCATGTCCATGAACTCCGTGACAAGATATTATGGCATTCCAAGGAACAGAGCTTTGCCTAGGCACTTCATAAAATAAAGACACAGCATCATCCAATCTACCACACTTTCCATACAGGTCAACAAGGCATGTTCCAACATAAATATCTGACCACATGGAGTCTTTTATAACCCGAGCATGAATTAGCATCCCCTGCCCCAAGGCACCTAGCTGTGAGTAAGCAGGTAATATGCTAACCCATGTACCTTGGCTTGGGGATATATCTTTCGACTCTTCCATCATATGGAATATATTGCTTGCTTCGTTTGCTAACCATTCTGAGCATAACCAGTAATTAAACTGTTCCACGTAACCACGTCTTTAATAGGGAGTCCTTCAAAGACAGCTCTTGCGTATTCTGTGGTACCCATTTTGGCATACATGTCCACCACTGCATTTCCAGTAATAACAGCATCGGAAAAATATCCCTTCCTGAGTAAAAATCCATGTAGGGACTTGCCACTCCTGTGATCACTCAATTGAGAAACAATAGAAGCCAAACTAACAAGTGTAAATGCATCAGGTTGGATTCCCAATTGTTGCATATTGTCAAATAGTAAACGAGCATCGATGGGTTCACCATGTTGTTCATATGCAGCAATTATAGAATTCCATGAGACAATATCTTTGATAACCATCTGCTCAAAAACTCTCCTTGCATCACCTAACCTGCCAAATTTTCCATACATGTCGATTAATGCATTGGAGACAAACAAATTGAGCTCCAAGCCATGCTTGACGGCATACAAATGCATCAACTTCCCTCCTACAACATCATTCATCTGTACACATGCAGGAAGAGTACTAGCGACGGTAATAGCATCCATCTTCTCCCCCTCCAATCTCATGGCATCTGCAAGTTCTAATGCATTTGCTACATTTCCATTCAGGCAATATCCAGAAATCATGGCATTCCATGAACCACTATCTCTGTATGGCATATTGTGAAACAATCTGCAAGCACCTTCCACAACCCCAAACCTTGAATACAAGTGTATTAAGGAAGCAGCCACAAAGACATCCCACTCAAAGCCAAGCTTCAAGATGGAGCAATGAACCTTCATTCCATCAAATAGATTTCTGCAGGCTTTCAGCACTGGAGGGAAGGTATAGAAATCAGGTCGCACACCAGAGGTCAGTAGAAGCTGGTGGAAACAGTCTACCGCTTCATGGAAGTGACCACGTCGAACAAAAGCAGATACCATAGTATTCCACAAATAGACATCCGATCTTGGGCTCTTTTTGAAAATGTCTTCCACAAATGAGATGGGACCAAGCTGTGCATAAAAATTAATGAGTTTCCCATAAAGAAAGCTGCTTTGAGCTTTTCCCGATACCAGCATAAGTGTGTGAATGCACTTAGCATGTTCGAGTTTGGTGCAGGATTTGAATAAACCATCGAGGTCAATCCCACTGTTCCCATATTCAAATCGGTATGGTGGCAAAGAACTTGGAGGTACCGAGAAAAGCTGGCTACAAGTTTTAAATGACTGTTGAATATGCCTTGCTTTGCAGGCTGGCACCAATCTGTGCACCAAAACAAAGGAACATCATTAGTCATCAGCCTATCACCAAAAAGTGTCGGATACAAATATATTGAAAGAAGACCGATCGAAAAGAAAAGGGGGGGGGGGAGAGGCTACTGCACCTAAACATACATATATTTGCGGAAGGAGCAGAAAACGTGATCTAATTCACAGCGAGTAACATCAAACCTCCCAAATCTGCTGCTGGTGGGCGAGAGCAAAGGGAAAGACACCCGGCTTGGACACTGGCTATTGCAATGCAGGAGCAATGAGACCAGTCACCAGTCTGAAAGGGAAAGGCTTTTCATCAATGTTGTCTGAGCAGAAAAAGAAACCAGTCCGGAATAAGATATTCATGGTCAGAAGTTCAATCAGTGTTTCACCGGTAATAATCAGGGCCAAGAACAGTGACATATTACATGCAGAAATAATATCATGTTTCAGTGGAATACAAATTCTATACCTACCAACCACAGTTCCGCACTTCACCCAGCATTTCATGATCACCGATTCAATATAAAAGCTCCCAGTTTGAAAGATTATCACCAAAAAGTGTCGGATACAAATATATTGAAAGAAGACCGATCGAAAAGAAAAGGGGGGGGGGAGGAGAGGCTACTGCACCTAAACATACATATATTTGCGGAAGGAGCAGAAAACGTGATCTAATTCACAGCGAGTAACATCAAACCTCACAAATCTGTTGCTGGTGGGCGAGAGCAAAGGGAAAGACACCCGGCTTGGACACTGGTTCACTGGCTATTGCAATGCAGGAGCAATGAGACCAGTCACCAGTCTGAAAGGGAAAGGTTTTCATCAATGTTGTCTGAGCAGAAAAAGAAACCAGTCCGAAATAAGATATTCATGGTCAGAAGTTCAATCAGTGTTTCACCGGTAATAATCAGGGCCAAGAACAGTGACATATTACATGCAGAAATAATATCATGTTTCAGTGGAATACAAATTCTATACCTACCAACCACAGTTCCGCACTTCACCCAGCATTTCATGATCACCGATTCAATATAAAAGCTCCCAGTTTGAAAGATTAAAAAGTCACCAAGTGTATATGGATGAAAATGTTCTTCCAAGGACCTAGAAAGTTTCGAGGGTAGCCGTGAAAGAGAACTTTCGAGCACAAAATATAGCCATCAAAGTGAGCTCAATTGGTTTGTGACCATGAAGGAAACACGCTAATTGGTTCAGTATAGTTAGAAAACTTTTGGGGCTTCTCACTAAGATGAAAAGATCCTTAATTTATCAAATTTTCAAACAGAACAACCCTAGATTGAAGGAAATTTCCTAGAATCCTTGCCAAAATAAAATACCAAAATGAAGAGTTTCACCTTTCAAAGGCCGGAGTGGCGGCAGCTTTCTCTTTCGCGGTCTCGCCTAGGGGAGGATGATTGAAGAACTCGCCCTTGGTGTCTCTGCCGTACACGCAACTCGCCGTCTCTAGTTTCCTGGTTGCAGCACCGTGGTCTGTTGTAGCCAGAGACAGGGCAATTGAAGCTCGGAGAGGCGACTAGCTTCTTCTCAGACCAACCATTTCTTCTAGTCTCGGAAATAAATAAAAAAATAAAGAGAAGAAGCTAGTCGCCTCTCCGAGCTTCAATTGCCCTGTCTCTGGCTACAACAGACCACGGTGCTGCAACCAGGAAACTAGAGACGGCGAGTTGCGTGTACGGCAGAGACACCAAGGGCGAGTTCTTCAATCATCCTCCCCTAGGCGAGACCGCGAAAGAGAAAGCTGCCGCCACTCCGGCCTTTGAAAGGTGAAACTCTTCATTTTGGTATTTTATTTTGGCAAGGATTCTAGGAAATTTCCTTCAATCTAGGGTTGTTCTGTTTGAAAATTTGATAAATTAAGGATCTTTTCATCTTAGTGAGAAGCCCCAAAAGTTTTCTAACTATACTGAACCAATTAGCGTGTTTCCTTCATGGTCACAAACCAATTGAGCTCACTTTGATGGCTATATTTTGTGCTCGAAAGTTCTCTTTCACGGCTACCCTCGAAACTTTCTAGGTCCTTGGAAGAACATTTTCATCCATATACACTTGGTGACTTTTTAATCTTTCAAACTGGGAGCTTTTATATTGAATCGGTGATCATGAAATGCTGGGTGAAGTGCGGAACTGTGGTTGGTAGGTATAGAATTTGTATTCCACTGAAACATTATATTATTTCTGCATGTAATATGTCACTGTTCTTGCCCTGATTATTACCGGTGAAACACTGATTGAACTTCTGACCATGAATATCTTATTCCGGACTGGTTTCTTTTTCTGCTCAGACAACATTGATGAAAAGCCTTTCCCTTTCAGACTGGTGACTGGTCTCATTGCTCCTGCATTGCAATAGGCTACATTCACCCCCCGGCAGTTCCTCCTTTCCAAATTGATTTGGGACTTTTGATGCCCGCCATTGTTGCAGTGACAAAACTTTGAAACCTGCAATTACCATCTTCCACACAAAGGATCACCCACCACTAGTACCCATATTCACCCATCCTTCCATCGATTTCAATGCCTCTCTAACTTGTTTTATTGTCCGAATCATAATCCCCATCTTCGAGCTTCGATCACCATGTTGCACGCGGACAATCGCGACTCCCCTTTTTTTTCCTCCCTCTAGACTGACATTGAGTCCAAGGCAGCATCAATGAATCGATTGAGAAAATTTACGGTACAAACTTAGAGCTCGAAGAGAATTGTACTGGCAGATTTGCGGGAGATACAAAGAGGCAAACTTAGTAAATTATTGTCGTACTTTTCGTCTTACGTAATGTGAGAATAAATGTGAATATTAACATATTGGTTGGAGTTATAAAGAGAAACTATTACCCATGGATAACTGTGGATACCCGAAACCCGAACGGCTATGGGCACGGTTTGGATTTTCTACTCGTTTCTCATGTGAGTATGGGTAAAATCCGAACTACTTTGGGTAGGGTAACGGATATACACTATCCGTCCCCGACTCGACCCATTGCCATCCCTAGCCACGTCAGATCCGAAAATCACTCTTAACGTAGAGAATTTTGAATGGGGGTGGCATCTTTATGTTTCCATTAAAAATGATACTGTAGATGTGGCATCTACGTGGCAAATGAGGATGGGTTGTCGCTGACGTTTGCATCAATTTGGTATCCATTAACCTAACTGGCGAAATCTCTAACATCGTTAAAGTTTGTAACGAAGATGGCTAGATTTGTTCAACAACCATCAAAATCCTGACTATTTCATGTATTTCAAAAGTTATGACTATAATTGTCACAAAACGCAAAAGTTGTGACTATTAAAGTGTATTTTGTCAAAAAAGAATGAGCAATTCTATAATGTTTTGAATTTTCTTGGAGTCGCTTGGGGACCCACTTGGTTGAGTTCAAGAGGTTTGAGCCTGCAAGGACTTTTGTGTCTCGTAGAATGGAAGTAGTAGCCGCTCCTAACAAATAACAATATGAAAAAACCAAGAATACTCTTTGTTTTAGTAGTATCATGAACAACATCGATGTATGTATTACTTAACCGCTCCTAAACATACATAATGTCACATGCATATAAGGGAATCAAAAGTGTAAAGAAATTTGTGCTTGTAAAATCCACCGCCGGTGGTCCAATCAGGATAGTCTTCTATCAGAGTCTAAATTGTTAGGTGATTTTTAGCAGTATGAAATTGTTTTGACCAAATTTCAGCATAAATTCATCAAATCCATATATTTAACACAATGTTACGTTCTTTTGCTGCTTTTTGTATTGTGAATTTTCAAAGACGGTTTAGTGCTACTTTGCACGGTTCGACCAGACCGATGCTCACCCTATCAGTAACTCTACCAACATCATATTGCTGCCAATCACTTTGCTTCATAAGAAATATAGCAAATTGCATCACAAAAGCAAATCAATCAAGCTAGCATTGAAACCAATGGATTTGCACATAACGGGGATGAAGACAGCAACTACCAATTTCATCCATAAGCAATTTAGTGAAATCAAACTATTAACTTTTATACGTTGAATGAAACATCACAGTATTGAAGCAGAATCCACGAAATTGCAGCAACAGAGTATCGTCCATTACAGACACTTCCCCTCCCTCAACAAGATAATGGTTTTCTAATCTAAAGCAAAATTATTGGGAGAGTTCAGCCTCCTTCTGCTACAGCCTGTCTAGGGCACTGTCTAATCCGACCAGGGACGGTTTAAGCCAACCCAAATTACATCAGAACTCACACAAACAAACTATCAAATTAAGCAAGGACCAGCCCAGGAGTTCATATTATCTAACCGACATAAAAGAAGAGCCTCAGTTAAGCAAAGTTATTCCTACAGGAAATGGCCCAATCCAAAGGCATCCATTCAATCAGTGGAAAACAAGGAACACATAAGAGTGCTATATTTAGAGTTGCTCACATTTCAGAGCTATTTTCCGCTATGAATCAAAACCCCAATAACAAACTAATTAAGTGCTTGTAACTGCTCTGGGTCATCAGCTCTCAGCTGGAATCAACAATTACATTGCAACCAAACTTCGCAATAATCTACGTTCCAAAGCTAGATTATCAACCAGAGAGACATTGATTATCTAAGAAGCTAAGAACAGTTCACAGTACTACCTAGCAGTCTAGCACACAAACAAGGAAGCATCAAAGCACTAATGAAGAGCCAGATTACCTAAGCACGGACGAAGCCACACAGAGCAAAAGTGGTGAACTGGCCAGTGTAACAGCAGTTGGCATACTTGAGTTACTAACAAATAAAACGCCCCAAATCTCTCCCCCAATTCAGTTAACGTTCATGCAACGGATTGCATAATGGACGAAAAGGTTCACAAGCTAAATGTTATGCTACACAGTAATGTCTGCATCACCAGTAATCCCCACAGGAACAACTTCCATCCTTGAAATGATGGAAACGGTTGGAATCCCTGACAACAATTTCCCTACCTGTGATATCGGATATACACTTAATCGCACTATGGCAATCTCCACAGACTCGCAAGTTTTTGAAGATCCTAAGGGAGCTTTTGGGTGGAGTGCTGATTATTCCATATGCAATCGCCAACCTCTCACTATGACTCATGAGGATATGCTCCTTCTCATCGTCCTCGACATCCTGCAACACGAAACCAAAGTCGGGAACATAACCCTTGGCCTTTATTTTCTCACACAATTCCTTCAGCTCCTTGTATATTTCATTACACTGTGTATGGGTCTGGTTCCCTGTGTAGAACACATTGACCTTCTTGTCTACTTCAATCGAGCTCCATCCGGGAGTCTTCTTCAACCCCATTCCTCTAGCCAAAGACCTCACATCATTAACTCCTTCCCATTTCCCAGCGTTCGCATACATATTCGACAGTAGAACATAGTACCCAACATTTTCCGAGTCGACTTCGAACAAGCGATCCGAAGCATATTTACCCAGCTCAACATTCCTATGAATCCTGCAAGCACTGATCAAAGCACCCCAGATGGATCCATCAGGCTTCATTGGCATGCTTTTAATAAACTCGAACGCCACGTCCAAGAGACCAGCTCTGCCATACAAATCTACCATGCAACCGTAATGCTTCAAAATAGGCTTAATTCCAAAATTTTCCTGCATCAAACAGAAGCACCACTCCCCATCGCTTACCAGACCTGAATGACTACAAGCTGACAGTAGAGAAACAAATGTCACGTGATCTGGCTTCACTTCTCCATCAAGCATTTCTCGAAAGAATTCAAGAGCTCTCTCGCCATGTCCATGAACTCCGTGACAAGATATTATGGCATTCCAAGGAACAGAGCTTTGCCTAGGCACTTCATAAAATAAAGACACAGCATCATCCAATCTACCACACTTTCCATACAGGTCAACAAGGCATGTTCCAACATAAATATCTGACCACATGGAGTCTTTTATAACCCGAGCATGAATTAGCATCCCGTGCCCCAAGGCACCTAGCTGTGAGTAAGCAGGTAATATGCTAACCCATGTACCTTGGCTTGGGGATATATCTTTCGACTCTTCCATCATATGGAATATATTGCTTGCTTCGTTTGCTAAACCATTCTGAGCATAACCAGTAATTAAACTGTTCCACGTAACCACGTCTTTAATAGGGAGTCCTTCAAAGACAGCTCTTGCGTATTCTGTGGTACCCATTTTGGCATACATGTCCACCACTGCATTTCCAGTAATAACAACATCGGAAAAATATCCCTTCCTGAGTAAAAATCCATGTAGGGACTTGCCACTCCTGTGATCACTCAATTGAGAAACAATAGAAGCCAAACTAACAAGTGTAAATGCATCAGGTTGGATTCCCAATTGTTGCATATTGTCAAATAGTAAACGAGCATCGATGGGTTCACCATGTTGTTCATATGCAGCAATTATAGAATTCCATGAGACAATATCTTTGATAACCATCTGCTCAAAAACTCTCCTTGCATCACCTAACCTGCCAAATTTTCCATACATGTCGATTAATGCATTGGAGACAAACAAATTGAGCTCCAAGCCATGCTTGACGGCATACAAATGCATCAACTTCCCTCCTACAACATCATTCATCTGTACACATGCAGGAAGAGTACTAGCGACGGTAATAGCATCCATCTTCTCCCCCTCCAATCTCATGGCATCTGCAAGTTCTAATGCATTTGCTGCATTTCCATTCAGGCAATATCCAGAAATCATGGCATTCCATGAACCACTATCTCTGTATGGCATATTGTGAAACAATCTGCAAGCACCTTCCACAACCCCAAACCTTGAATACAAGTGTATTAAGGAAGCAGCCACAAAGACATCCCACTCAAAGCCAAGCTTCAAGATGGAGCAATGAACCTTCATTCCATCAAATAGATTTCTGCAGGCTTTCAGCACTGGAGGGAAGGTATAGAAATCAGGTCGCACACCAGAGGTCAGTAGAAGCTGGTGGAAACAGTCTACCGGTTCGTGGAAGTGACCACGTCGAACAAAAGCAGATACCATAGTATTCCACAAATAGACATCCGATCTTGGGCTCTTTTTGAAAATGTCTTCCACAAATGAGATGGGACCAAGCTGTGCATAAAAATTAATGAGTTTCCCATAAAGAAAGCTGCTTTGAGCTTTTCCCGATACCAGCATAAGTGTGTGAATGCACTTAGCATGTTCGAGTTTGGTGCAGGATTTGAATAAACCATCGAGGTCAATCCCACTGTTCCCATATTCAAATCGGTATGGTGGCAAAGAACTTGGAGGTACCGAGAAAAGCTGGCTACAAGTTTTAAATGACTGTTGAATATGCCTTGCTTTGCAGGCTGGCACCAATCTGTGCACCAAAACAAAGGAACATCATTAGTCATCAGCCTATCACCAAAAAGTGTCGGATACAAATATATTGAAAGAAGACCGATCGAAAAGAAAAGGGGGGGGGGGGAGAGGCTACTGCACCTAAACATACATATATTTGCGGAAGGAGCAGAAAACGTGATCTAATTCACAGCGAGTAACATCAAACCTCCCAAATCTGCTGCTGGTGGGCGAGAGCAAAGGGAAAGACACCCGGCTTGGACACTGGCTATTGCAATGCAGGAGCAATGAGACCAGTCACCAGTCTGAAAGGGAAAGGCTTTTCATCAATGTTGTCTGAGCAAAAAAAGAAACCAGTCCGGAATAAGATATTCATGGTCAGAAGTTCAATCAGTGTTTCACCGGTAATAATCAGGGCCAAGAACAGTGACATATTACATGCAGAAATAATATCATGTTTCAGTGGAATACAAATTCTATACCTGCCAACCACAGTTCCGCACTTCACCCAGCATTTCATGATCACCGATTCAATATAAAAGCTCCCAGTTTGAAAGATTATCACCAAAAAGTGTCGGATACAAATATATTGAAAGAAGACCGATCGAAAAGAAAAGGGGGGGGGGGAGGAGAGGCTACTGCACCTAAACATACATATATTTGCGGAAGGAGCAGAAAACGTGATCTAATTCACAGCGAGTAACATCAAACCTCCCAAATCTGTTGCTGGTGGGCGAGAGCAAAGGGAAAGACACCCGGCTTGGACACTGGTTCACTGGCTATTGCAATGCAGGAGCAATGAGACCAGTCACCAGTCTGAAAGGGAAAGGTTTTCATCAATGTTGTCTGAGCAGAAAAAGAAACCAGTCCGAAATAAGATATTCATGGTCAGAAGTTCAATCAGTGTTTCACCGGTAATAATCAGGGCCAAGAACAGTGACATATTACATGCAGAAATAATATCATGTTTCAGTGGAATACAAATTCTATACCTACCAACCACAGTTCCGCACTTCACCCAGCATTTCATGATCACCGATTCAATATAAAAGCTCCCAGTTTGAAAGATTAAAAAGTCACCAAGTGTATATGGATGAAAATGTTCTTCCAAGGACCTAGAAAGTTTCGAGGGTAGCCGTGAAAGAGAACTTTCGAGCACAAAATATAGCCATCAAAGTGAGCTCAATTGGTTTGTGACCATGAAGGAAACACGCTAATTGGTTCAGTATAGTTAGTAAACTTTTGGGGCTTCTCACTAAGATGAAAAGATCCTTAATTTATCAAATTTTCAAACAGAACAACCCTAGATTGAAGGAAATTTCCTAGAATCCTTGCCAAAATAAAATACCAAAATGAAGAGTTTCACCTTTCAAAGGCCGGAGTGGCGGCAGCTTTCTCTTTCGCGGTCTCGCCTAGGGGAGGATGATTGAAGAACTCGCCCTTGGTGTCTCTGCCGTACACGCAACTCGCCGTCTCTAGTTTCCTGGTTGCAGCACCGTGGTCTGTTGTAGCCAGAGACAGGGCAATTGAAGCTCGGAGAGGCGACTAGCTTCTTCTCAGACCAACCATTTCTTCTAGTCTCGGAAATAAATAAAAAAATAAAGAGAAGAAGCTAGTCGCCTCTCCGAGCTTCAATTGCCCTGTCTCTGGCTACAACAGACCACGGTGCTGCAACCAGGAAACTAGAGACGGCGAGTTGCGTGTACGGCAGAGACACCAAGGGCGAGTTCTTCAATCATCCTCCCCTAGGCGAGACCGCGAAAGAGAAAACTGCCGCCACTCCGGCCTTTGAAAGGTGAAACTCTTCATTTTGGTATTTTATTTTGGCAAGGATTCTAGGAAATTTCCTTCAATCTAGGGTTGTTCTGTTTGAAAATTTGATAAATTAAGGATCTTTTCATCTTAGTGAGAAGCCCCAAAAGTTTACTAACTATACTGAACCAATTAGCGTGTTTCCTTCATGGTCACAAACCAATTGAGCTCACTTTGATGGCTATATTTTGTGCTCGAAAGTTCTCTTTCACGGCTACCCTCGAAACTTTCTAGGTCATTGGAAGAACATTTTCATCCATATACACTTGGTGACTTTTTAATCTTTCAAACTGGGAGCTTTTATATTGAATCGGTGATCATGAAATGCTGGGTGAAGTGCGGAACTGTGGTTGGTAGGTATAGAATTTGTATTCCACTGAAACATTATATTATTTCTGCATGTAATATGTCACTGTTCTTGGCCCTGATTATTACCGGTGAAACACTGATTGAACTTCTGACAATGAATATCTTATTCCGGACTGGTTTCTTTTTCTGCTCAGACAACATTGATGAAAAGCCTTTCCCTTTCAGACTGGTGACTGGTCTCATTGCTCCTGCATTGCAATAGGCTACATTCACCCCCCGGCAGTTCCTGCTTTCCAAATTGATTTGGGACTTTTGATGCCCGCCATTGTTGCAGTGACAAAACTTTGAAACCTGCAATTACCATCTTCCACACAAAGGATCACCCACCACTAGTACCCATATTCACCCATCCTTCCATCGATTTCAATGCCTCTCTAACTTGTTTTATTGTCCGAATCATAATCCCCATCTTCGGGCTTCGATCACCATGTTGCACGCGGACAATCGCGACTCCCCTTTTTTTTCCTCCCTCTAGACTGACATTGAGTCCAAGGCAGCATCAATGAATCGATTGAGAAAATTTACGGTACAAACTTAGAGCTCGAAGAGAATTGTACTGGCAGATTTGCGGGAGATACAAAGAGGCAAACTTAGTAAATTATTGTCGTACTTTTCGTCTTACGTAATGTGAGAATAAATGTGAATATTAACATATTGGTTGGAGTTATAAAGAGAAACTATTACCCATGGATAACTGTGGATACCCGAAACCCGAACGGCTATGGGCACGGTTTGGATTTTCTACTCGTTTCTCATGTGAGTATGGGTAAAATCCGAACTACTTTGGGTAGGGTAACGGATATACACTATCCGTCCCCGACTCGACCCATTGCCATCCCTAGCCACGTCAGATCCGAAAATCACTCTTAACGTAGAGAATTTTGAATGGGGGTGGCATCTTTATGTTTCCATTAAAAATGATACTGTAGATGTGGCATCTACGTGGCAAATGAGGATGGGTTGTCGCTGACGTTTGCATCAATTTGGTATCCATTAACCTAACTGGCGAAATCTCTAACATCGTTAAAGTTTGTAACGAAGATGGCTAGATTTGTTCAACAACCATCAAAATCCTGACTATTTCATGTATTTCAAAAGTTATGACTATAATTGTCACAAAACGCAAAAGTTGTGACTATTAAAGTGTATTTTGTCAAAAAAAAATGAGCAATTCTATAATGTTTTGAATTTTCTTGGAGTCGCTTTGGGACCCACTTGGTTGAGTTCAAGAGGTTTGAGCCTGCAAGGACTTTTGTGTCTCGTAGAATGGAAGTAGTTGCCGCTCCTAACAAATAACAATATGAAAAAACCAAGAATACTCTTTGTTTTAGTAGTATCATGAACAACATCGATGTATGTATTACTTAACCGCTCCTAAACATACATAATGTCACATGCATATAAGTGAATCAAAAGTGTAAAGAAATTTGTGCTTGTAAAATCCACCGCCGGTGGTCCAATCAGGATAGTCTTCTATCAGAGTCTAAATTGTTAGGTGATTTTTAGCAGTATGAAATTGTTTTGACCAAATTTCAGCATAAATTCATCAAATCCATATATTTAACACAATGTTACGTTCTTTTGCTGCTTTTTGTATTGTGAATTTTCAAAGACGGTTTAGTGCTACTTTGCACGGTTCGACCAGACCGATGCTCACCCTATCAGTAACTCTACCAACATCATATTGCTGCCAATCACTTTGCTTCATAAGAAATATAGCAAATTGCATCACAAAAGCAAATCAATCAAGCTAGCATTGAAACCAATGGATTTGCACATAACGGGGATGAAGACAGCAACTACCAATTTCATCCATAAGCAATTTAGTGAAATCAAACTATTAACTTTTATACGTTGAATGAAACATCACAGTATTGAAGCAGAATCCACGAAATTGCAGCAACAGAGTATCGTCCATTACAGACACTTCCCCTCCCTCAACAAGATAATGGTTTTCTAATCTAAAGCAAAATTATTGGGAGAGTTCAGCCTCCTTCTGCTACAGCCTGTCTAGGGCACTGTCTAATCCGACCAGGGACGGTTTAAGCCAACCCAAATTACATCAGAACTCACACAAACAAACTATCAAATTAAGCAAGGACCAGCCCAGGAGTTCATATTATCTAACCGACATAAAAGAAGAGCCTCAGTTAAGCAAAGTTATTCCTACAGGAAATGGCCCAATCCAAAGGCATCCATTCAATCAGTGGAAAACAAGGAACACATAAGAGTGCTATATTTAGAGCTGCTCACATTTCAGAGCTATTTTCCGCTATGAATCAAAACCCCAATAACAAACTAATTAAGTGCTTGTAACTGCTCTGGGTCATCAGCTCTCAGCTGGAATCAACAATTACATTGCAACCAAACTTCGCAATAATCTACGTTCCAAAGCTAGATTATCAACCAGAGAGACATTGATTATCTAAGAAGCTAAGAACAGTTCACAGTACTACCTAGCAGTCTAGCACACAAACAAGGAAGCATCAAAGCACTAATGAAGAGCCAGATTACCTAAGCACGGACGAAGCCACACAGAGCAAAAGTGGTGAACTGGCCAGTGTAACAGCAGTTGGCATACTTGAGTTACTAACAAATAAAACGCCCCAAATCTCTCCCCCAATTCAGTTAACGTTCATGCAACGGATTGCATAATGGACGAAAAGGTTCACAAGCTAAATGTTATGCTACACAGTAATGTCTGCATCACCAGTAATCCCCACAGGAACAACTTCCATCCTTGAAATGATGGAAACGGTTGGAATCCCTGACAACAATTTCCCTACCTGTGATATCGGATATACACTTAATCGCACTATGGCAATCTCCACAGACTCGCAAGTTTTTGAAGATCCTAAGGGAGCTTTTGTGTGGAGTGCTGATTATTCCATATGCAATCGCCAACCTCTCACTATGACTCATGAGGATATGCTCCTTCTCATCGTCCTCGACATCCTGCAACACGAAACCAAAGTCGGGAACATAACCCTTGGCCTTTATTTTCTCACACAATTCCTTCAGCTCCTTGTATATTTCATTACACTGTGTATGGGTCTGGTTCCCTGTGTAGAACACATTGACCTTCTTGTCTACTTCAATCGAGCTCCATCCGGGAGTCTTCTTCAACCCCATTCCTCTAGCCAAAGACCTCACATCATTAACTCCTTCCCATTTCCCAGCGTTCGCATACATATTCGACAGTAGAACATAGTACCCAACATTTTCCGAGTCGACTTCGAACAAGCGATCCGAAGCATATTTACCCAGCTCAACATTCCTATGAATCCTGCAAGCACTGATCAAAGCACCCCAGATGGATCCATCAGGCTTCATTGGCATGCTTTTAATAAACTCGAACGCCACGTCCAAGAGACCAGCTCTGCCATACAAATCTACCATGCAACCGTAATGCTTCAAAATAGGCTTAATTCCAAAATTTTCCTGCATCAAACAGAAGCACCACTCCCCATCGCTTACCAGACCTGAATGACTACAAGCTGACAGTAGAGAAACAAATGTCACGTGATCTGGCTTCACTTCTCCATCAAGCATTTCTCGAAAGAATTCAAGAGCTCTCTCGCCATGTCCATGAACTCCGTGACAAGATATTATGGCATTCCAAGGAACAGAGCTTTGCCTAGGCACTTCATAAAATAAAGACACAGCATCATCCAATCTACCACACTTTCCATACAGGTCAACAAGGCATGTTCCAACATAAATATCTGACCACATGGAGTCTTTTATAACCCGAGCATGAATTAGCATCCCCTGCCCCAAGGCACCTAGCTGTGAGTAAGCAGGTAATATGCTAACCCATGTACCTTGGCTTGGGGATATATCTTTCGACTCTTCCATCATATGGAATATATTGCTTGCTTCGTTTGCTAAACCATTCTGAGCATAACCAGTAATTAAACTGTTCCACGTAACCACGTCTTTAATAGGGAGTCCTTCAAAGACAGCTCTTGCGTATTCTGTGGTACCCATTTTGGCATACATGTCCACCACTGCATTTCCAGTAATAACAGCATCGGAAAAATATCCCTTCCTAAGTAAAAATCCATGTAGGGACTTGCCACTCCTGTGATCACTCAATTGAGAAACAATAGAAGCCAAACTAACAAGTGTAAATGCATCAGGTTGGATTCCCAATTGTTGCATATTGTCAAATAGTAAACGAGCATCGATGGGTCCACCATGTTGTTCATATGCAGCAATTATAGAATTCCATGAGACAATATCTTTGATAACCATCTGCTCAAAAACTCTCCTTGCATCACCTAACCTGCCAAATTTTCCATACATGTCGATTAATGCATCGGAGACAAACAAATTGAGCTCCAAGCCATGCTTGACGGCATACAAATGCATCAACTTCCCTCCTACAACATCATTCATCTGTACACATGCAGGAAGAGTACTAGCGACGGTAATAGCATCCATCTTCTCCCCCTCCAATCTCATGGCATCTGCAAGTTCTAATGCATTTGCTGCATTTCCATTCAGGCAATATCCAGAAATCATGGCATTCCATGAACCACTATCTCTGTATGGCATATTGTGAAACAATCTGCAAGCACATTCCACAACCCCAAACCTTGAATACAAGTGTATTAAGGAAGCAGCCACAAAGACATCCCACTCAAAGCCAAGCTTCAAGATGGAGCAATGAACCTTCATTCCATCAAATAGATTTCTGCAGGCTTTCAGCACTGGAGGGAAGGTATAGAAATCAGGTCGCACACCAGAGGTCAGTAGAAGCTGGAGGAAACAGTCTACCGCTTCATGGAAGTGACCACGTCGAACAAAAGCAGATACCATAGTATTCCACAAATAGACATCCGATCTTGGGCTCTTTTTGAAAATGTCTTCCACAAATGAGATGGGACCAAGCTGTGCATAAAAATTAATGAGTTTCCCATAAAGAAAGCTGCTTTGAGCTTTTCCCGATACCAGCATAAGTGTGTGAATGCACTTAGCATGTTCGAGTTTGGTGCAGGATTTGAATAAACCATCGAGGTCAATCCCACTGTTCCCATATTCAAATCGGTATGGTGGCAAAGAACTTGGAGGTACCGAGAAAAGCTGGCTACAAGTTTTAAATGACTGTTGAATATGCCTTGCTTTGCAGGCTGGCACCAATCTGTTCACCAAAACAAAGGAACATCATTAGTCATCAGCCTATCACCAAAAAGTGTCGGATACAAATATATTGAAAGAAGACCGATCGAAAAGAAAAGGGGGGGGGGGGGGGAGAGGCTACTGCACCTAAACATACAACTTCTGACCATGAATATCTTATTCCGGACTGGTTTCTTTTTCTGCTCAGACAACATTGATGAAAAGCCTTTCCCTTTCAGACTGGTGACTGGTCTCATTGCTCCTGCATTGCAATAGTCATCCAGCTGTCCGAACCAGAAAAAAATCCTACTCCTACACAAAAAGGGACCTGGCCCCTGGAACAAATGTAATTTACACAAGCAAAGCAGACATGATGTAGAGAGCTACCCATCACTGGAAATTTGTTCTTGTCCATTGCACGTACCTGAGGGACTCTCGAAACTTTAGTTCCCAAATACCCAATCTGAAAGTTACTCTTTCTTTTTCGTGGTTCTTATCCGTTTACAATTTGTTCATGAAATTTGACAACCAACAACAGAACCAGTTTCTAGTTTCCTTAACTCATTCTTTGTTAGCTAGATGTATACTACAGATGGAAAAGACATGATGACTATGTGATGCAGACAGGTAATAAGGAAAGCTCACGAAAGAGAAAGCAAGTATACACAGTAATAACACCGGCCAAATTAACAAGAAAGTCGCAGCCATTCAGACCAAATTAGAATCAAGAGGAGGAAATCTACAGCGCTATTCTATGGATATCATATACACAGAGACATGAGGAAGACAAATAGAAAGTAGACAGAAAAAGGAGAACAGGGGTTATTAGAAACCTGGAAGCAGAGTGTCGATGGACAGCAGGGGTCGATGCAGGGGAGAGGCAGCCGTGACCGGAGAAGGGAGAAGGGAGACCTCACCGGCCGGCCGTTGCGCTCATCGGCAGGAGCGGGGAACGAGCCGCCGAAGACGACGATGGCGTCGGGCGATGGCGAACGGCGACGGCGTCTGGCGATGGCGAACGGCGACGGCGTCGGGCGATGGCGAACGGCGACGGCGTCGGGCGACGGGGAACGGCGGCTGCAGAGGAGAAAGCTGCTTCTCCTTCGTGTCTGGCTGTCTGCGCGAAGAGGAAGAAATGAAATTAGGGTTTCAGCACAGCAGCCTCCCCTTTCATTGTCGATATTTTAGTTTTTTTTTTAATTAAAGCAACCGGCCCAAAGGTTAAAAACCGGGCGAGCGCTTCGAGCGGTTAACCGCTTCGGCTGCTCTCCGGCTGCCCCAAATAACCACTCCGTCTAAATAGTTGAGTCGAGCCGGTTTTATGGCCGGGTGGCGGTTTTGGCGGCTCGGCCGGCCGGCCCGGCTTTGACAGCACTGCTTCTCCCAATTTTTGTTGAGATTACACTTTCAATTCCATCATATCCCTATCGTTTTATCCATGTTCTTATCTGCATTACGTTGATAACCACTTTTATATTTACAAGTGGCTTGTCGAATTCCTTCTGGTACTTCATAGTCAGTGATTAATTCATAGAATGGGATGTAAAGATGTGGGTGGCCTTCAAGTTCCTCCACAAAATATGTCTCGTCTGCCCCTAATAATCTTGAGACGTGAGTGCATGTGATATGAACAATACCCATAGGCTATATTTAGGGATGGCAATTTCGACCTGACTCGATTTATCCAACCTGTTTGACCTATTTTGGGGTGGGTCAAACCCGCCCCGTAGGCGGGTTTTAGCAGGCATGGGTACCTCTCATCGACCTGACCTGCCCTGACCCGCCCCATTCTTCACCTGTTCGTGCCTAAATTACATATAACATTAGTCAAATTACTTAAGATTTTCCTCTTATTACATTATATTTTAGCTATCATAAAGTTGTAAATAAGTGAAAACCTCAATTTCTTCAATAATTTAACTACATTTTATCATATTATGGTTTCTTTCTTGGTCTTTCAATGAAAAGAACGAATATTTCTACTGTTTTTCACATAAATTACATACCCAATGGGTCAACCTGCCCCGACCCGCGTCTCGTGATAAATTAACCGACCTGAACCCGACCTGCCATGGGACGGGTATGGATATCGAGATACCCGCCCGGAACCTGCCCCATTACCATTCCTAGCCACAACCACCATTACCATCAGAATTAAACCAACCACAAAGAACGAATTTCACACCATCCCCAATGTTTTTTTTTCTTCTATATGGGTAATCCTTCCACCTTTTACTCTGATTGGCAATCCTACACTGGGCACCACCTATACAAATGTAGTGGGGAAACATTGAGTAAACTAAAAGGTACATTACAGTTAAGAAAATCAAGTAACTAAATCACTTGAGATTTGGATATGTATTAGCTTCCCACTCATCTTTCCTCTGTATGGGTAGATTGTGAGTTTACACCTGTATCTTGCCTCTAGGACCCTGTCGGTGCATCATCTATCCAAATGTATAAAAAAAAAATGCTACATTCAGGAAACCTAACCATCCATCTAAACATGCTAAATTCAGGCAACTAACCGTCAATCTAAACATCCTAAGTTCAGACAATCTCACCATCCATCTAAATATTCTAAGAAAACGTTCCTTGAAGTATATGTCTTCATCGAATGATCGGGCTTAGGGTGAGCACCATTAGGCTCATCGATCCCATCTTCCTCAAAATAAAGGTGGCTTCATAGTAAACTAGTGGCTCCTGAAATTGTTGAATCATCTCTATAGAGAACCTCCTCTGGCATCCTCTGGAAAGTCTTGGAGATTGTAAAAATTATGGTCTTCTCTTGCTTCATGATTGAGAGGCTCTCGATAATTCAAAGTGGATCAAAACTTGACCCCTTTAGGTTTTAGGTTTAGAGATTTCTATGATGACTAAGAAATTCTATGTAATGGGTTAAGAGAGTACAAATCCTAAGGTTTCTTTATATAGACCCACCATCAGGGTATATTAGGAAATTACCTTTCATTAACCTAACCAATATATGACTTACCTTATATATTAAACCATTAAGTGATAATTACACTTGGGCCACAATTATTCCCTAGTGACATACCGGAATTGGGCTTACAAGTTGGCATGCAGAATTTGAAGTTGTGAATTTATGTATTTATGCTTCCAGTAACCTCGGTTTTTGTTCTCCCTTTCCTGGAACGAATGAAAGAATGCAAGGAATAGAGTTCATGTTCATGCGATGCGAATGGAGGAGCCTCTGTTTGTCTCCGTACATTGGTTTTCTTTCTGTCCAAGACAGGGGTCCAGTTTTTTAAATACTGTCATCCCATGATTTTGTTGGTTATTGATCTCGGTAGTCGATACTGTTCTGGATTCTGGAAATTTGTCGGTTGTTATTTTCTTTACTTGCATGGACTAATTATCGTGCATTTAACCATCTTATGTCATTTCTATATATTTATTTGTGGCGTATATATGTATCTATATTTTTGTCTGCCATTGGAAGGGGAAAAAAGGACCTTTGGTTCAATTGAAAAGCAGTGGCTTTTGGATATGAAGCAATGGCCGTTGGGCATGAAGCAAAACATTGTGTGGAATGCATGAAACTGCTTGTCTCCTCACTACTGGTTCGTTGGTTACAGGAGAAGGGAAAGAAGCACTCGGCAATCATTGTGGATGTCGGGTAATTACTCTGTCCTTTTTTTTTAATTTGATGCCATTCTAGAATATATGATTGTATATATCATATATGGTTTTGGCTCTGATATACGAGACTTTGTATAGATTTGAATTCCAAGTAGTTGAAAAAAATGCAACACTTTGGTTTATGTAACCAAGTTGTTTGTGTTGTGATCTTGGAGGGAAATGAAAACAATGTGGTCATATTTCCTACATGTGATCGACCACCAAGTTTTAATGTGTTCATCACATTTGTCTAATTCGTTTATGTGGAATGGATGAATAATAAGTGTGACAATTTAATATTGGTACATTTTCGTTCGAAGAGTTGCATGAGAGGATAGAAGGACCTAAACTTCGATATGCTAAAGTGTTCCACAAATTATGTATCAACCAAATGCAAGTTTTTTAGTGGATTGGAAGGTGGTTTGGATGATAGTAAGCTATCAAGCTTAGGAAAATATGAACAACAATAGGTGTGTGAAACCTATGACGAGAGGCCTGTGAGGACTTGTGTTCAAGTATATCTAAGCCTAAGTTGTTGCAAATGTTATGTTCAAAGTAAATTGAACATAGTACGAAAAGATACCTCCATTGTGTGGAGATGAAGTTTAGTAAATGCACGTCTAAAGGATTGCATT